CAAAGTCACTGACCTCTTACCTTTATCTAGTTTTGAGATGGTAAAGTTGCGTCATATTGTGATATAATAAATATATTATTTAAATCTTGTCCGTCTAATCACAATAAAGTCTTATTAAATATTAAAATATTACAATAATTAACATTTAAAATATTAAATGATGTTCTTTATCGAAATATTCGATTTACATTAGACCATTAGTTTCGAGGTAAATAATACGTGGAGATTTTCTTCCATTTCCCCCACATTTATCCATACCCTGGTGCTTAGGCGTAGGGACAACCAGGGGCAGAGCCTTAACTAGCTAGCTAACAGCATCTGGCTGGCTAGAACTGGCTAAAGATACACTTTTTGATCGATTTTCCATGTGTTTATTTTTAATTTTTCGCCCCAGAGCTGCTTTTAAGACACATTACATGGCGAAATCAACAAAAAAATAATGTATATACAAATTAGCAGTCATATCTGTTTCGAACACCTGAAGAAAACCACCTGAAGATGACCGGTTAAGGTCGAAACATGAAATGGATTCCTAATGAACATCGAGACTATATTCAAGAATTGTGTAGACGGACTGTCAACCTAACATTGCCATTTTTATCTCAAGATCTGTAGCATTTATTTATCTTTCGATGTGTTGTGTATTTAAATTATTAATAGCTCTGCGCAACGTAGTATTTCTGCTGTTTAATATGCTCCATCAACATAAAGATTAATGAGCTGTGCATAACAGATCTGAAAATCCAAGCAACTGCAATGTTGAGTCTTTAATATTAAGACATTAAACAAATCGACACCGAAACTTGGAGCGTAAATTCTGAAGTGACTCATTCTAAACCTTGACTCATCCTCAAGCTAATGCTTATACTGCTATGACTCGGTCTCCACAGAGTCGTTTATGTTAGCATGCATAGTATGAAGGTGAAGTTCTTATTCATGAAGAAGGGGCTTAATGCTGATGGAGTCGCTCTTTTAAAATGTTTTGAAGGCTGCATTTGAAAACTGTTCACACTCCATTGTAGGTTAGAATCATTATGATGACACTCTGCCAAACGAGGCTTGTAAGAATGTGAACAAATTTTAATGTGGCCAGCTTAAAATCTATCCTTTGTCTAGGAATCACATAATGTCCACTGAATAGCAGACGATTTTCAAGACAAAGTACTTTCTGATGCCAACTGCATTCCATTACGTACGTAAAAACTTGTCGAGTCATGTGGAACATGAAAGGAAGAAGGAGTAAGTGATGGAACACATTTCGTATTGCCGGTCACAGGAAACGCTGTCTTACCGACGTCCTGGGTGCGTTTTCTTAGAGTAAGCGAAGTTGGCGAAGACTGACGAATTTTCTGTGCGCCGGCTTGTTTCGGCCATGAATACTGGAAAGCATGTTGGTACTAGTATTCTGTGCTGGCAAGTACTTGCATGGGTGACCGCTAGGGGATGTTACTGACTGGTTGCCTGGCGTGAACAACTGCTGACCGTAAAGACGCATTCATCAGTTTCTTGTTTCTAATTTTATTCTTGATAAATCATTTTGAAATATGTTTTTACGTTAGGAAAGTTTAAGAACGTAAGATGAGACTGTATCCGAATGGAATAAACCAGTTACTGGTTTCGGTCGACGATATTAATTTAGTAGGCCAACACATAAAACACCACAAAGAGAAACACAGTAACTCTGTTATATGTAGTAAGCATGTTAGTACATAAATAAAAACAGAGAAAACTACGCGTGTGTTATGATTTCATCACCAGGAGTGCAGGACAGAGTCATAATATAGAGATGGATAATAAATCCTTCGAAAATGTGGCAAAGGTCCAATATGTGGCAAATCAGAACAACGTTTATGAATATTTGTTTAAATCTTGTCAGTCTAATCACAATAAAATTCCTATTAAATATTAAAATATTACTATAATTAACATTTAAATATTTAAAATATATTACATTACATCTAATGTAAATCGAACATTTCGATAGAGAACATCATTTAATATATTTTAAATATTTAAATGTTAATTATAGTAATATTTTAATATTTAATAGGAATTTTATTGTGATTATACTGACAAGATTTAAACAAATATATATTTATCACAATATGACGCAACTTTATCATCTCATCAACTTTTATGAAGAAATTAATTAACATTTGATTAAATTCGAGGAACGATTGTAAATATGCGGTTTAGAATATGTTCTCTTGCCGTTTACTATATAAAACCTGAATATTAGAAAACGTAAAAAAACAGAATTTTGCCCGATGGGTTCAAATTGCACTTCTGGTACGGACGTATGTCCGCGTTATTCTGTGTTCTGCTGCCCCGTGTATCATCTAGAGGCCGGCCATGCAGTACTGAGTAGCCATAAATATGCTAACGAGTTACCTGAATGTTGCGTCTGAGAACTGAATCCTTCGACCGGCAGGTTTTGCCGGAAATCGAGCCTCCGATATTTCTGCTCGAGGGCCACCGGACGGATTTGGATGGAATTTGATATGCACAGCCTGAAAAACATATTCTGTTTCGGCTACGAGTGGTGATAGCAAAATGACAAATGACGGGCGAGGATAGTCGTGAGGTGCTGCGATCTGGTGGCCAAAGTGGGAACTATTGAACAAGTGTGTGTCAAACACCTCTAAGCACTTCGCGAGGAAGACATGCGGATATTATGTATATTCCGGTACGGAATACGCTTTCCGATCGTGTTATCATTGGAATGATGGCTGACACGAGAACCTGATCTCATTAATTCATTTCCGAAGTAATCGGGTTTTACAGGCCTTGTTTGTACGACATAGAAGCAAGCATTATTCTAACAAACAATTGATGGATACAAGATTCAGCATAAAACTACGACAAAGTCTGTCCGTGTGTGGGCTGCTAGAGGTTTGAGGCTTACGTTTGACTTAATCTTGGAAGGCAAATAATCCGGTGAGTTGCAACGTGTATGGTCTCCCTAAGAGGATTTTATTTCAATGTTTAATTTTGAAGTATAACAGGTCACAACGCCTAATCTGTAAAAAAAAGAACTCCTGACGATTCAGGACCTGTATATTAGCAGTAATCAAAGCGAGGGGTGAGATATGTGTTATTTATTGGAGAGATGATAAATATATAGAACAGGGTAACGACCCACTGCAGTCAACGGGACATAAAACTTGGTCGCATATCAGCTGAATCTAATTCCAGAGAAGATCACCCGATGCTCTAAAGAAATTACCGAAACTCACCATAAAATAATTTAGTCCAGGTGTTGCCAATATGCGCGCCGCCGCCATGTTTTGTGGCGTCCTCGTACATTTCTGTTTCATCTTACATGATGAAAAATGTTATCCTTCATATGATTTGTAAGATGTTATAAATAACCAACGAATTTTCAATAAATTTATAACTCGACGGTCCGCTAGTCGATAAGAAGGTGTGGGTCTTGTAAGTATGAGAATCCCGGGTGTAGCTGAAGGAGTAAATCCTAGGGATCTGTTATAATAAATGGGGATTTTATTGATTACTATTTATATAGAAAAATTTTTTGTTCCAGAAAACCTTCTAAGCGTTGACTCATTAATAGAGAAAGTGGGAGAAATTTCTTGCTGTGTCCAGATTCTTATCTGGTGCCCACGAAGACTCCTATGCAATGAGTACCGGGAGAAACTTTTACTGAGATTAAGGAGGACGGGGCGTGAAGCTGACCTCTTTTATCCATCTAGTACCATGCTTAAGAAAGACTGCAGTGCTTAATAAGTAACAGGTGTAGATGAGATTATAAAATTGAACTCGATTGAAATAAGTAGATTGTGAGCTTGTGGCTCAGAAAAGGTTAGGTTATGTTAGGTCTTCGTGGTTGAACAGGAGCTTGAAACAGGGCTGCCGGCAGTTTCCGTTTCGGAAATTGTCAATATACGTGCTAGTCTGTTGTTCTATACAGTCGTTAAATGTCTTCCGTCTTTGATACAACGAACTTAACTCCATGGGAGAAAGAAATGTCTGTAAATCATCAGAACAGTTCGGAGTATATTAGAACAGACCTCATGGAGTACAAACCATGAGTCATCATTC